ACATAACCAACTTCGACATTTGGGGTGATTTTCGACATTTTGGGACAAAAAGCAGAAATTTCTTCGAAATCAGTCATTGAAGTTTCGAAAGTTTGACAGTTTTTGCCCAATTTCGAAAATGGACTGATTTTGCTTAGAAATTGAAGAATATGCATTTCAGGCCCCTGCAGTTAATGCAAATTGATGCTTTCTACCCAGTTTCGAAAAAGGGGGAGAGTTTCGTATTTTTGGTTGTTTTGGGCGCACCGAGTCACTGCAGAATTTTGAAATTGACAATTTCTACCCAAGTTTGAGAAATTTTGTCAAAGGCGGTTCGTGAACGAAGCTAAAAATTGAAGATTTTTTGGATTTTCCGGATTGAAGCACAAAGTTTATGCCATATGTTAAGGGGGAGTTTTGACACCAAAAATTCGGAATAAAGTACGTTCTCTTTCCTTGATGCTTTTATAATCAAATTTCGATTATAAAAAGGGGGAGAAATTTATATGGAAATTCGAAAGTTGAATTTTTCATATTACGCGGACTTGAAGACCGAAGTGACCTTGAGTTTTTGAAGATTATGAAATGATTCGATTGGAGATTCAGAAGTGATTTCGGTTCGAGATGGGTTTGGATTTATTGAAGATTTTTGGGGTGTGTTTTTATGCTCAACTTTAGGGTGATTATTTGGAGTTTGAGAAGCTCTTAATCATTCGTTGATGCTCAGTTCGTATGGTCTCACATCCTAGAACCCAAATTGAAGAATCATGGAAGAATTGAAGATTTGAAGTTCATCTCAACATGTGTCACGCTTGAGGCTCGGATCACGTAGTTGCTCGATTTTGGAAGATTTGAAGCGGGTCATCCATTCCTAACTTTGAGGGGGAGAATGTTGGGGTACAAAGTTATCCATGTATGACTTTGTAAATGGTTTGACTTTTATAGACCCACTTGCATGTGGTGCTTTAGCCTTGTAACATGAGAGATAGAGAGTGAGAGAGAGACATGTAAACACCTCTATATAAGGTGGGTTCATACCACTTGTAGAGGTGTGCTTGAGAGATGTAAAATTGAGTGTGTAAGTGTGTGTTATTTATGTAGATTTAGATCTAGATCCCTTTTTGTAACACCATACATAATCAAATACATATCTTAAACACCGAAATCACCGTGTTCATTGTGTGTTCTTTAATTCCGCATGCCAAACCAAAGCTCATAATTCACATCAGTGAGTTCCCCGAAATACCTCATACCATACACAACAAACATACACTGGAGATGTCCGACAGCTAACAGTCCCCACCCGACATTGAGCCCCGCTCTGAACAAATCTGTCTGTATCATGTGATGGGCTCCGCCAACCACACCCATCAGGCCTCGCCTGACATCGGTCCCCGCCTGGCATGCATACAATAGATACACACATGCAAGGTCACACAAACAACCAACATATAGATAACAATTATCCATAGGTCGGCATTAGTGCCTTCGACTCGTCAAACATAGTGGGGAGACTCACCTCAATCTGCTGGAAAATCTGGTAAATGCTCGGGCTGCTAAGCCGGGAAATCTCCACACTAACTATGATAAAATAACATCCTAATCAATAATTTGGGAATAAACCATATCCAAGAGTCTAAGTCTTTAATTCCGACTCCTAGGGTTAAAGACCATTTTACCCGTCCCTTCAGGTAAAAACCACAATCACACAACAAAACATTCACAGTATAAATGGCTAACAGTAAGACTGAAACCACAACGAGACAAGTACGTAGGATGCACGATAACACTAAGAACAACAAATTAATCCAAATTGATCTAAAATGGTTCAATAGAAAATTTTAAACATGAATACTGGCATACCAATATCACATGCTACGAAAAGGACCGTTCGCCTTAACCGTCAGACTAACGAAATCCTTTCAATCTATAACGACAAACCCGACACAAACCTCTGTATCGTCTCTCGATTCAAAAGTCAGAAGTACTCATACGAGGGGTACCACGTCTTCCTAACCCACTCCGTAGACAAGAAGCTTGAAGCGAAAAACATCAAGGATATTCCGAAAGTCCGTAACCTCCCTAAAGTATTCCCAGTAGACCTCCCGGGAATGCCACTCGTACAACAAGTAAAGTTCAAGAATAGAGACTAACGACCCATGCGGAAAATCTATCACTACTAGGTGTATACGCGAAGATGGTTTAGAATTAAAATTCTACGGACTTAGGATGTGTGATTCCGCCCTACCTCCTGTTCTTTGTCTGGTTGTGGACTTGGGGCAGAGTCACCCATCCGACTGTCTTTTCAATCTTAATTATATACGATTTGTATACACGAGGTGATGATAAATGAACCAAGTATGAGTCGTACCATGAACTTCAGGACAATGTTGCCTAAGACTACGAGTGAACATGCTGCCATTCGAGTGAACGTAGACAAGTAAACAAAACTCATACACTCCCTATCGATTAAAGTAATAGATGAAATAGAAAAGCTGAGAGTAACATATCACAAAGGGGTGGTCAAGTTGCGCAGTATACCACTATTAATTATCACGTATAAGGGACAATCGATTTGCCTCGTGCCTCTGACAGTCGTTACAGAAGTCTTATGAAACCCAACTTGTCTTAAGTACAACTTACCATCCATAAACAAACAGTCAGATTAAACGAAACAAAGTCACATACTAATAATAATGGTCCGCTGGAACGCCAAGCGAGGACCTGAATTCACTTGGGAACAGAAAAATTCGATGAAACAAAAGTACCCACATCTTTTCCCTAGATCATGAGTAACAACTCTAGAACGAATTTCGGGACGAAATTCCCTATAACGGGGGGATAATGTCACAACTAGAAAATTTTGGAACCAGCAAGGTCTAAACCCTAACCAAGTATAAGTGAAACCACATTGCAACCTTGTTGCATTGTATCCTCTATACCTTGAGGGCTTATTTATAGGGCTAACAACTAAGTGTAGGTTGAAACCCAAGTTGAGTTAAGCTAATAATGTCAACATAACCCAAAAGTTCAAGTTTAAAATTATAGAATAATACCCTATATTTGGGTTTTCGGTCCAAAGCATCTAGAACATGTTGATTTAGGTTTTTTTGAATCTAATTCACAAAGTGTTTTCGGTTGTTGATTCAAGGAATATGGAGTTTTCGGTTTGCTATGACCGAAATCACCTCCTAAATGGCCGAAAACACAATACCAAGCCCATTAAGGACCAAAATCTAAAAGTATAAGTCCCTTTAAGGCCGAAAACACATTGCTATATATATATATATATATATATATATATATATATTATATATATATATATATATATATATATATATATATATGTTTATCCGAAATAAAACCTCATTTCTCATTTCCCACACCGAAAACCTTCATTTTTTGCTCTCAAAACTCATCCAGAATCCTCTCAACTATCATACGAAATCATCATATCGTCATAAGACTTTACCCAGATTCCTTCATGTCTTCATAAAGTTATCAGGAACATTCATAAGGATCTTCAAATCTCCTTATTTTCATCAAGAACACCAAGAACACTTCAAACAATTTTAAGAATAGTTTTTGTAAGTATTTCTTACATAATTTAGTGTTGTCTAACACTTTAAATTATTATTACTAATTTGAATACGATATCATGTATAAATATTATGAAGATACGACAACTTTCACGTATTCTAACCCGAGGATCATTCGCAATCACTTCGCTACCCAAACACGAACACGCATTCGAGGTGAGTTCATACCCCTACGTTTTCATTATTTTTCAATAGTTTTAGGGGGGGGGGGGATACAAGTAAAACACAAGGAAATCTTTTGATAACACTAAAGTGATTTCAAACGAATTCAAATTACTTTAATTATTTCAACTTTGATTTTTCACTATATATATATATATATATATATATATATATATATATATATATATGAGTATAAAACTTATTTAGATAAAACTTTAACCCTTTTGTAACATGTTGAGCAAAAGGGTATCGTTCTCAAATATTTCACTACTGTTTATACAACATGATATATTACAAAGGTGTTCATTAAATGCAGAACATACATATAAACTATAATAGGTATAGTTTGGGAAACTTGCATACTATTTTATCAAGTCATATAACAATACAAGAACACACATATAAACTATAATAGGTATAGTTTATGAAACACATATACAGTTTATTCAGTACAAAGTTACATTTTCATTTACTAAAGAGTATTACATTTCATTTACTAAAAGGGTTTTCAGTTTATTACTCGTAAACTCGTTGAAGAAATTTGTGAGACGCCTTCAAGTACTTATTTAAGTGCTCGCAAAAGTCCTGAATTATAACCAGAGTCTCTTGTAGGGAGAGCAATATATTTGTGTATAGATCTATTCGGGACTGACAATCCAACACCTCAACTGTTAGCTACAGTTAGGTCGGCAGGCCTGGGGTGACAAACACTACAAGAAAAACAGCCTGCTATGACACGCAGTGCATGTCGTCAAACACTCAGACGACACGCAAATGCGTGTCAAAGAAGGCCCTGTCATAAAGAAACACGACATGCTTTTGCGCGTCGTCTATTTACGACACACATTTACGACGCTCATTTACGACACACAATGCGTATCAAGGAAGGCCCTGTCATAAAGGAAGACGACACGCATTTGTGTGTCGTAACCTTACGACGCGCATTTATGACACACATTGCGTATCATTAAAGCCCCTATCATAAATGAAGATGACACGCATTTGCGTGTCATAAACTTCAGCAACCATTTACGATATGCATTTACGATGCCTCTTTACGATACTTATTTACGCATAGTACAAAATATGGAAACAAATATGTACCAAAACAATCAATTTCATCCAATAATATCATGTCAAAAAATTATAATACATTGGTATTAAGGGGATGTGATTGTACATTGTTATTAAGAGGTTTTCCCTAACTATATAACCTAATACTACATTGCTACTAAGGGTCACCTTGTTTCAGATGTCATGTCAAAAAAAATCCTCCATGTCAAAAGATTTGTTGTTGTCCACCGGGTGTAGATGACAAGTAATGACTTGAACATTAGCTGAAACAAAAAAGTTTTTATTAATCACACAATCAACAACATTTAGAAGTACATCAGAATTCATATATATACTAACATATGTGATATAATATGTATGATCCTGTAAAAAGAAAAATAGAAAAAAAAACAATTTAAGGAATAGATTGCCAATGATAATAAATAATAAAGAAATGCCGCTTACCAGATGATCCAAGAACTTCTCCAGCTTATCATTGAGTGAAGGCAATTCGCTTATATGAAATTTACTCAACCTGCAATATATTTATAAAAAAAATTGGTTATAAATTTATAATTACAAAAAAAATTAAAGCGGTTTCTAAAAAAATAATTGGACCTGATATTGACGATCTTGGAATACACTCTCTGTGGTGCTTCGTTTTCTTCCACTGCCCTTCCAACTATGTCATGTGATGTTCTGAAAGGTATCCCCTGCAAAGAAAAATGTTAATATTAATCAATTATCATAAAAAAAACGCAGTAATAGGGTTTATGTTCTGAAAGGTATCCCCTGCATAGAAAAATGTTAATGAACCATTCCATTCCTTTTCTAATTCCATTCCAAAACTAGTGATTGAAGTTTGCATCTTACCAGGTGATCCATTTTTCTCAATATCTGCAACCGATCTTACTCCCTATTTGAAAGCAAGAACACAAAGAATTTTTTAGTAAAAAATGATGCATAAATGTAAGGATTGATAAATAAATAAATAAATAAAACTTGATCAGGAACCATTCCATTGGTTGGAGATCTAACAACAATAGCAGTAGATCTCCGATTGCTTCCGGAAGCTTCAGAATATTCTCCATCCTGTTTCCAAATGTTCTATGTCATATCTTTCAAAAAACAAAGAAGTAGAAAAAAAATATTTTTAATATATGGACGATATTACCGTTGTCCTAGGTGTTGTTGAACCCAACCTATATGATCTAACTTGATGTGAAGCAACCTCCACTGATTTATTTCCTCCAATAAAATTCGGATGTGATGTGTTTATATGATAAATCTACAATAATAATGTAACTGATTTAACCATTAATATGGAAATTAAGAATTTTAAAAAAAAGTAATATGTTAAATACTAATACCTCCATTTCTACTAAGTGTCTTCAAACCAAAACTTGAAATGGAACCTATATATATATGTATTAAAGGGTTAAATTATTAATATAAATAAATAAATAAATAAAAATTTAAACCTCGGGCACGAATAAAGCGGGTCTAGGACCAGTTGCATTGTGGATTGCACGGATGTCTTGATCAGTTAATCTCTCAAATGGATCTACTTCCTGTGACAATGACATATGAAATATATATATATATATATATATATATATATATATATAATTTTATAGAAATAATAATGACAATTAGCATACAAATTATTAAATTTATAACATACTTCCAATCGGCTCACAAATATTGACTGGAAGATATAATGAATTTTAGCACCAGCATACACCCCAGATGTTAACTTTTCTTCATTTCTTCCATTAACCATTGACACAAAAGCTATAATGAACATGTTTCTAAATATTATTATTGGGAAAGTGAATAACTGTATAATAATATGAGTGACAATACTTGTTACCTTTAGAGTACTTGAGAAGAATGTTTAGAACTGCAAGTGTAGTGGCATCAAGATGTCCAGCTGGTAAAGACTTTTGTACTCTTTCATGGTTGTATGTGATGTTATGTGCAAACTATGCTGATACTTCTAGTAAACATATCAGGTAACAGGTAACAGGTAATAACATGTAACAGGTAAAAGATAACATGTAACATGTAACATGTAATAATAGTAATGTAACATGTAACAACAGGTAATGTAACACATGTAACAAGATAACATGTAACATGTAACAATAGTAATGTAACACATGAATCGATCTATAGGAAGGCCAGTGCCAACTAATGCACATGCACCTAAAGGGCAGAAATTCAACCTAAGTCTGCAATCAACCAAACGCCCATCATATTATTTATATTACAACTAAAATCACTTCATAAAAGTGAAGAAAGATATGAATGAAACACAACAAATCTAAGACCCCTTTCCCTTTCTTTTTTCATCCCATTTGAATAAATGATGTTTAAGTCTCCTTTCATAGACTTTGACTATTAAGTCAAAAAACAAGACCTATTAAAGAGAGAGAGAACCTTTGAGAAATGATAACCTTCAGGCACAGATATTTGAAGGCTTAAGTTGACCTCATTGGAAGAACCACCATCAACTACAATTTTTTTGTGTGTCAGCTGAATTTCGTTTTCTAAGGCGAATTGGAGATCTTGATTTTGATGCAGGAGGCTGAACTCCTTTTAGCTCAAGTGTAACAACTTATGCATCTTCTCTGTTCAGATCTAAATATCTAATCAGACTGTTGTTCATATGAATAGTCTCCCTGTAAAATTAAAAAGTTTAATGATATGTACTCTATACTGTGTACTATGTAATCACCTGTATCAGCTTCAACAATGCCAGATGGGGAATTTGTAGATGTAAATACAGCACTATCAGAAGAATCTTCCCATGAGTTCATCAAGGGACCTAGAGATAACATTGATCAAAAGGTAAGAGATTAAATCGGGTTAGAAATGGTTACCAAATGTTAAATACTCACAGGAACACAGTAGAGAAGGGACCTGGACATGATGATAAAAAAAAACTTAATCAAAACTATGTGTATATTCTCATCACAATTCTGTTTGCTTTGCCATCTTTTCTTGTTCTTTATTTCGTGTACCCGAGTCTTGGTTGGTTGGTAAGAGAAATCATCACTTGAAGTAAGCAAAATTTTTGAAGAACATTGGGTTGTTAAAAGAGATTGTGATTTATCTTAGGTTTTGGAGAAGTGAGCACATTAGAAAAGAAAGTCATGACTTCATATTCCGAAATTTAATAAAATTTAATAAACTATTATATAACATTAGTTAATAAGCATGTGAGATGTGGCTAATGAAGACATAGTTGTCCTATAAACCTTTCTTGGCATCTTAAAATCCATCACCACCTATCAAAAAAAACATCAATTTGAAATCAAAACACAATGATGGATTGGGGTAAAAGAAAGAATCATATATGTTTTTACCTGTGAGGTGTTGGTGTCCCAAACATTGATGTGGTGATCAAATGAGCCTGCGACAAAAAAGACCTGTATCAATTGGATACCATATGGCTATGGATATGGCATATTTGAGATCATTTTGATGCTGCTTATCGACATGAAGTATGGGCTTATGCTTAGCAATCAGACCACCTCCCTCATAGTCTGTTGCACGTTGGATATCATAGACAGCAAGTGATGTATCAGATGCTCCAGATAACAAATATCTTTCCTCTGTCAAATCACTATGATTTAATGATCAAACATACTGTCGACCATAACATCTAATCTAATAAAGAATGTAATGTACAGACGAACTTTATATATGACCTTCATTTTGTGGCACAATGAAAGATCCTTCGACTGTGATTTGCTGATGTATCTCAGTAGCTCATGTTCTGTGTGAAAACTAGTTCACCCAAAAACAAAATGTCAAAAATCTCAGATGTGATATGGGTTTAAACCCATAAACTTGTTAAGCTAAAAACAAGAAAAAAAACGAAGAACAAGTAAGAAAGAAACATACGAGACAGTGAAGCAACTCCAAAAATACTTGAACTTTTGTCTGGCCATGATGTTTTGAAACAAAATGAGGCCAAAATAAGAGGAATCTCATTAAACTGTCTCATAACAACAACAACAACAACAACAGGTGGGATTATCTCCTTAATAGAAGCACCAGATGGGACCGTACGCGTCGATTGAGTCAACATAATTCATCACAGAACAAAAATTTCTATTCAATTCAGAGAAACTAATCAAAGTTATTATAAGCAATAATGGAAAAGTGAAGAAATTGTAGGTGTTATAAGAAAAATTAAGATATCAGGGAAGAAGAAGAAGAAGAAGAAGAAGAAGAAGAAGAAGAAGAAGAGGATGTTAAACATGAACCCTAGGTTCGCACACAATTTGTCTCAAAGAATTGTAGTGAACTATTGATCTAAATCAAAATGGAAGAGAATATTGCTTAATTTTTTACTGATAACTATAAATGAACGTGAAATTGAAAAGAAAGAAAACCCAGATCATCAATAAGAATGGAAGACTGATCGGACCAATTCGATACCAAAGATGTGAATCAAAAGAAGCAGTTGTGAGGTTGACATTAGGGAACTTTGTAGAGGCGGTGATCGTTCCATTAAATCTCACACCCTTTCCGTGTCTAGAAATGTTGTGACTCCGCCGAGACGATGATTGTTATCATCGTCGTCGCGAGGCATTTGATCACGAAAGCAAGAGCAATTATGCTGTGAAGATGAAGGCCCTAGGGCTTTTTCTTGCTAAGTCGAAGAGGCGGGGGGCGGGGGGGGTGTTTAATTTTTGGGATCCAATAGGCGGGGGTTAATTTTTGTCGATTTCATTTCCAGCCTAAAACGCGTGTTTCATTAAAAAATTATAAAGCGACACACTTGCATGACGCACATTTTATGAAAGGCGCCCTCCGCATTTTTTTTTTCATTTCTGACACTAATTTTAGGGCACGCATAAATGCGTGTCCTCTAACCTTAAAATTTTGGAAATTGACATTAATTTTTAGGGCATGCACAAATGCGTGTCCTCTATCAGTGTGTGTCATTGTTTGCGTGTCATTAAAGGGTTGTTTTCTAGTAGTGAAATGTCGTTAACATTCTGACGCCTGAAGAACGTCGCGATCAAGCCATCTTAGGTTACAGTCTTGTTATAAGAACTCACATGGAGAAAACAACGACACATTTACTGGGTAATATATTTTCAGACAGTTTCATTTGAACATTAACTTTACATTTGGTTTACCGAGCACACATACTTTCAAATAGTTTTACAAAACAATAAAACCACATTACATGAATTCTCAGTACAACAAGGATTACATTTCTTGAAACAAACGTTTAAAGGGATTTCATACTAATACGACTACAGTACACTATTTTCTTAGTACAGTGCAACTTACATTTCTGAAAGTGCTATTATTGTTTACGCTATGATGACTTAGCGTATACATTATGGTTATATAAAATGAGGATCCGATAGGCATTCAAATGTTTTATTTCCGCCTTACTTCCTGTTCCTTGTTTGGTTGTGGGCTTAGGGCGGATCCACTCATTCAACTGTCCGTTCGATCTTGATTATATATAAATTGTATACTCTAAGTGATCATAGGGGAAACAGTATGGCTCATATCATTTACATGCATTAGAACTTCGAATCTTATCAACAAAAGAAACTTATACATTTTGGTCTTAAAGTATTAAGACTACGATACATTTACAACAGAAAATATAGGATTTTCTGGACGAACACACTTACGTTTTCAAGGAACAAAGAACATACTTTTACATACGAAATGCTTATGAACTCACCAACTTAAATGTTCATGCACTTTCAAAATCGCTTGTGTTCTCAGGAAATTAGTAGACAGGTACCCTCACTTGTGTCAGAAAGACGGAGCATAGTAGCATCACGTCTTAACTTTTGTTAATCTTGATGTTAAACAAACAATGTTTTGAACATAATGTAAATTATATATCATCAATACAATGGTTGTGTTTGCTTTAATTATTATTATACAATTGTTGTGATACTGTACATGACGTCATCCGCCCCCGAACGTTTCCGCCATTCCGGTTTGGGGGTGTGACAGATTGGTATCAGAGCATTGTTTATAGTGAACTAAGTATATCAAACCATAAAAGATATACAACTATAAACACAATGGGATAAAAACACTCTGATCAAGAGTTATACTTTTAAAATATATTGATATTTTTATAAAAGTATACATACATGCATACATACTAGAACAGTATCACAAGAAGAACAATACAAAAGTATTTTGATGTTGAACACTACAGTTAAACCTAGACAGTTATGTAATCATATCTGGGATAAATATAGCATGATCAACTATATTCATTTGAGATACGACCAACATGTGTTTGGGAGTGATGGTGGTATAGCAACAAGTCTAAAACTTACCAACTCTACATACAAAGGAACACTAGAACCAAACATAAAGTTTAATATACTATAGGAGTATTTTATGATACTATACAATAACAACAAGTCTAAAAACTTATCAACTTTGTATGCCAAGAAACATTAGAATCAAACATAAAGTTAAAATACTATAGGAGTATTTTAAGGTGTTATAAGTAACTTATGTGAAAACTAAAAGACCCTTACTGGTAGATCTATAATTGTTGAGTGTATACGCTAAGGTTATATATAATTAAGATTTTATAGACTTAGAATTTGTGCTATCACTCTACTTCATGTTCCTTGTTTGGTTGTGGTCTTAGAGTAGGATCACATATTCGAAGGTCTATTCGATCTTAGTTATATACGACCTTTATACACTACGTGATTATAGGAGAACCCGGTAAGGAAGACCATAAAAATTTCGATAAAATTGCTTTTATTAATATCATAGATTCTTTGTACACTCATATTCTCACACAAACGATATATCTAGAAATCGTAACCCCACTACAGCAGCCAATAGAGGAGTTGAGGAAGAACCAAAAGAGGGTTCACGAGGAGGATTCCGAGAAGGGATCAGACGCAGAGAAAGGTGCTGGAGAGATTGTTAATGAACCTTACCTTCTTAAGAGCAGACATGAGACCCTATTTACCTTCATCTTTCTAGGACATATCCACACAAAGTACATACACCCACTACACAATACTTCGGACCCTAGCACCTACAAATCAAGCATTACCTCTGATTGTTCCATGAGATGCCCACTTGAACATTCGGGTTGAGACTCTCCATCATGAAGTAATAGAGATCAGTAGCAAAGCCCGGTGCATGACAATGCAAACCCAACACACCCACGAAAAGCAAAGAACACTATATGGATGCCATACCTACAAATAGATCAGGAAAACAATACGGACCACTTACACTATTTAGAGGAAAAGATAGCTATGAGACAACGAATCTTTGCAACTAAAACTAGGACAGTCATAGCAAACCAGAGAAACAGAAGGGGGCCACTCACTAGATGTGTGAGATGGTGGAGCACCCTGCGTGACATTTTAATAACTAATAAAATAATATAACCTAGTGAGTCAGTGACTACACTGCTCACTCTATGAGTTAGGCTTAACGCACTTTTCGTCACAACGATTAACAGTAAAATCAAGAGAGATACTCCCTTCCAAAACCCATGAAACCCGATCAACTTAAGATTTTGACACCTATATCCTATTTTGTTAAACCTAACATTGGCAAAATACCTACTCCCACTCACTAACATAAATACATCATAGGGATGTTGGTCGAAACATTGAAAATTGTACAACAAAACGTGAAATTTATATGTGTATATATATAAATAGATAGAATTCAACTAGCAACGACAATAGATACTTACGAACTCATTTCACGCCATGCAACAGAATCATGCCTTCACATGAAAGTAAACAGAATAACGGCGCAACACCGGTTCTACATAGAGACCTAGCTATATTCCAAGCCACCGTAACAGCTGCAGTGACAACTATCATGACACATCTCAATGCTAACAACACCCACGAAAATGGAAACGGTGTAGACAATTCCAACCATAGTGACAACCAAGAAAACCAACTAGTGTCTACCTACAGGGATACCCCAAACCACAAACCTAAGAACAAGAAACGGAAATTCTGGAAGAAGAAGGGTCGTTCGACTCAAGGACCTACTACCTCAGTACCGAACCGGCCATATGCTGGAAACCTCCCAAAGTGCAACAAATGCAGCTTCCATCACTATGGAGTCTGACGAGAAATACACTGCAGAAATTGCAACAAGAATGGGCATAGCACCCGTTTCTGTAGGACTCCGGCCCAACTCGCTACTCAGGTCATTAATGTAGGAGCAAGTCAAGCATGCCATAAATACGGTGAAATGGGGCATTTCAAGAGAAATTGTCCAACAGAAAGGAATGACGGAGAAGCGGGATGAGTTGTAATAGTAGGATGTGAGGAAGCAACGAGGGACCCTACTAGAACTCCCGATACGTTTCTACCTACATAACTCATATGCATACATACCTTACTATAACGATACAGAGAGGAGTTTTTCGTGATCCTCCAATTCACAAACTGAAGGGTTTTGAGCACTCTAACAACCTTATGGTGCACATGCAACCCTAAATGCTTTGGATCTATGTTTTCTCTTATTATACAAGCAATTTGATTTTCCAAAGCATTATCCTAACTAGCATACAAAGCATGGTACTTGAACAACAAAAACTAGTTAGATAACTTACCTCTTGTTGTAGCTTGTTAACTTGAACCTTTAAGAGCCTAGCGCCCCAAATGTGATGCCTCAAATGCTTCACAAAACACCACCAACAGTGGAGTACTTGGGAGAGAGTGACTTGCACAAAAATCGGCTCTTATGATCTCTTAGAAGAACTAGTGACCGATTTTAGGAGCTAGGGGACTCCTTTTATAGTGTGGCAAAGTCTAGGGTTTCATCCATGTAAACCCTAATGGACATGAACTTTCATATTACTTAGGCTCCATGGGTTAAACCTCCATGGACTACCAAATTGGTTTAGCCCATCCTAAATAACCATAGGCCCACACTATAAGAATCATTGATTTACCAAATCAATCCCCGTACATTTAATTAGTCTCTTTTGATCACTAAATTAATTCCAAATTAATTCTTGATCAATACTAATTAAATAATATGATTTCATATTAATATATGAGAACTTATAATATATTAATAAATCATAAA